ATTAGGTTTAAAGTCGTAATAACGACTTCTTATCTCGTTAATACGACTTTTATTTATTTTTTTTTCATTTTCCTTATTTGACCCTTCTAGGCTTTCGTAGAAACGACGTCAAAGATCAAAAAAATTATTCAACAACTCGAAATTATTGGAATACATTTAGTGTATTGATTTGAGATAAGTATATACGATTTTTCAACGGTGTGTACAATTTTTGATACACTACAATAAGTGGAAAACCAATGTTAAGATATTTCTATTCATGACGTTGTTATAAATCTAGCGCAACGTCGGACCGGGCTGTGCAGCCTGTGTATACGAACTGTTATTATTGATGACGTTCGTAATTTATCTTGAATTTAAAAAATAAATCAATTGTGGTCTAAACATAAATATTATTGCACATTCTTGGCCGTTTGGCATGATGAAGAAAATGTAGCTCCTGTCCATAAACATGTGATAAAAATTAAAAATCCATTATTTTTGACGTTATCATGAAATTAGGCCGTGCGGCTTATATACAAAGTATTTACAGTAGTGCGTATTGTTTTAATTTTTACATATTTACTTAATCATGGTCTATATTAAAGTATTATTGTATACGTTTGCGAGTGCGGACATTATTCTAAAAATTATATTGCATTTGTCCATGAACTTCATGGAAAAGCCTCGTATATATATATATATAGAGAGAGAGAGAGAGAGAGAGAGAGAGAGAGAGAGAGAGTTTTCGGAGACCGGGATTGTCAACAATCTGTTGGAATTCCTATTTTCCGCGGGTACTACTCATGCCCTGAAATAGGCAGACCTACTTTATTCATATAAAGTAGAATTTATTCAAAAACTTCTACATGAAAAGAAAAGGTCTCTTGCTCTGGTCTTCAATTCGACAACTAGATATATCGACGACGTTTTATCAATGAACAATATTCAGTTTTATTCCTACGTTGATTCGATATATCCCAATGGACTCGAAATAAGAGACATCAGAGAACCTGACACATCTCCTTCATATTTGAATGTTTTACTAAAGAGAGACATTAATGGCAAACTGAAGTCCATGAAAAACGTGATGACTTCAACTTTTCTATACTCAACATCTCTTAGTTATGTTGCAAACCATGTTTACCTGCATATGGAGTTTATGTCCCCCAGTTGTTTCGATATGCAAGAGTATGTTCTATATACGAAAAATTTCATAAATAAGGCAGGTTATTGACATATAAACTGAGAATTCAAGGATACCATCAATCTTATTTGAAGTCAATATCTCAATGGTCGATACAATAACCCTAATTGTAAATAATCTAAAATGTCTTCAAGTTAACTGTTGACTGACTCTTTCATACAAATTGCTAGGCTATTATTTTCTTACTGAATTGTCTACATATTTACCGTTAACCTTTAGTCATGACAAGGATCACAGGCCCGGTTTGACCGGTCGACAGGGGATGCATATTCCTCTATGGCACAAGATTCCATCTTTGCTTTCCACCTGATGATCTTTTTATTATTTTTTACCTTGTCAAGGAACTTTTGTAGAGTTATGCCCCCAAACAAAAATTTGTTAGGTCTCTCCCCTCTTGAAATTGCTTCTCACGTGCCTGGATCAATAAGTACCATGAAATTGTAAGTAAAATTAAAGAAGATATCCTTGCACACTTGTATAAATGTGGAATAATTTCACTGTGAGTATAAATATTTTATACTTGAAAAATAGCTAATCTAACGGAGTTTTAAAATCGTATAAACGTTGAAAGCAAGATATTAACGCAGACGACATACAATGTAACTCATCAGACATGTCATTTTCTTTTTATATGCTTCTTTACAGGTCATGGTTCCCAATTCTTGAAATTGATATTTAATAGTCCATTCCAAGAAATGTCAATGTCAAAGTTCACTTTATGGACATAACTATATGTTTTGTATAGAAGAAAATTGACATTTCACAAAACTGAACAAAAAGATCACCTATATGACGTCCCACGTACAACTAACTTTCTTGAAGGGTGGCATAGACGCTTTTCATGTGTCTCACACTGGACATTAGCATTATGAACAAACCGGCAATTCCAAATCTATAGAATATCAACTCTTGTGTAACTGATTTTACCTACAAGAGAGTGTCCACTAAATCTTTTACGCATCAAGCATAGCGATACGTGTATCAAAGTAATACAGGAGAAACAATAATTTTAAACTTTTAAAAATTTGTAAGGCGAACAATTTGATGTAATAACGCGAACCAACTCGTATGGTTGAAATCTGCACATTGAAATTCATGTCTGTATTAACGTTTGATTTGACATTTATAATCATTCCAAAATCATATTAAATCAAACTTGAATTTTTATCATAATTCTGTGTGTTGATTACAAATATTTCGAATTTATTGTCTTCTTTTCACTTTATGACTTACGGTGTGTGTGTGTGTGTGTGTGTGTGTGTGTGTGTGTGTGTGTGTAGAGAGAGAGAGAGAGTGTGTGTGTGTGTGTGTGTCCATACGTATATTTTAGCAGCTAGATTAAAGGGTATTTTTTCCTTATTTGGTTTTGTTTTGTTTTGTGAAATGTCAATTTTCTTCTATGCAAAACATGTAATTATGCTTTTGATATTGATATTTCTTAGAATGGACTGTTAAACATCAATTTCAAGAATTGTGAACTTTGACCTGTAAAGAAGAATATCAAAAGGAAATGATATTTCTGATGACTTAAATGTCGTCTGCATTATAATCTTCCAAACTGTGCAGCTTTCAATGTTTTAATGATTTTTAAAACTTCGTTATATTTGCTATTTTTTAAACACAAAACATATATACTCACAGTAATATTATTCCACTTGATACATGTTTGCAAGGATCTTTTCTTAGTTTTCTTTTTTACTTTCATTTTATGGTACTTATTGGCCATTGCGCTTTCTTACCATTTCTTTCTATCTCTAGCTGAATTTCGAAATTAAAGTCATACGAATTCCACACTAAAATCCCTTGTTTACATGCGCATTCGCATGCGCTATTTATGTATTGGCTCATCCACTAAGGCATTCTTTAGATACTTAATTTTTTTTTCAAGATTTCCGTGCTTATCTTATTAGATGTTTTTGTACAGTATCTCTCTGTTTGTAATTCATTTGATCTATCAGGGAATTTATTTCAAAAAAATATCCATGAAAAAAATTGTTGTTGCATTCAATGATTATAAGCTGATTAATATTTTAAAACAAGAAACTGTAATGATTTTAAACATTCAGTTTTTGCTTACTTGTTATTTTTGTTCATCTAAGCGCTTTTGTACATGCAGACACATTAAATTTAAATTCGAAGAAAAAGTCCTTCATCTGTTCCGGGATTTTTAACCTTGGCAAGTGCGGAGGGTAAAGGTAGACAACCCTCCTACAGAAATGTTCTGTTTACTCGCTACATGTAAAATAGGTCAGATATAGTTCATAGTGGAAAGACGTGACAGGTTATGATCCCGGGACTGGAAGTGTAGAATTTTGCCATTTATAAACAAAGAAGTGGCTTATCAGTGAACTGTCAACCCATGATTCCAAGTAAATACCATTTTCTTTTTTTTTAAATTAATTATTATTTCAATATCTTCTGTAAAAATATAAAAGAAGGTTTTTCTTAGGTTTCCGTCACTTCTCCGATATCCTTCATATCAAACGAAAGTAAGTAGTACCCTTTTTCGATATTTAAGTTTAATATTTGAAAGCATGCATTATTTTCTGTTATGGGCAAATTATCGATGGGTTCTCTTAGTCTGTTCTTCAAGAGTTCTGCTGTTAAATTCTCGTGTATGTAGTAAGTGATATTATTTCTAGTATGAAAGAACAAAAAGACTTCAAGTATTTCTAGGAAAGATGCGAATGTTGTGTCATAAAAGTGTATTTTTAAGGTATAGTGGGTATTTGCTCGATGTTTTTGTTGGCCAAAAAATGTATATATTCGCAAACTTTGAGGATAAACTTTGAAAATATGGAGCGAGGACCCACTCATATCGAAAAAATTGTTTTTTAGTATGAGAAAATGATCCTTTTTGCCCTCTCTAGTGTGTGTATGCTATTTCATAGGCAAATAATTTCAATCTAAGTGAGATTTTTGCAAATTGTGGAGATTTTACATAAAGTATACTTTGATTTAAGATGAAATATCAAAGAAAATTTTGTTATAATTGAGATTAAATTTTTCACTTTCATGTTTGTTGCACTATAGGCACTGTGCTCGCCTTCTTCTGACCTAATCCGTGTCCCCCTCCCCCGCATAAGGCTGTTTATATACCACTATTATATACAGATATTTATTTTGATAAATGAAAATTATTTGATTGTTGTTCTAATGCCGGGATATAACACTAAATAGTTATAAATATGCATAATGGTACTTAAGATATACTTAAGTCACCTCTATCGGCTACGTAAGTTTTGCTTAGAATGCCAAATCTTAGCATGCTTCTAGTTAAGGTCTTAAGTCTAAGAATATACTTAAGTCCTACTTTAACATGCTTTTAGTAAGACAATTACCCTTTACGTTACAACCCCTGGACTTCTGTTGTATGTTTGTAGAGGTTTTGAATTTGGTTCTTTGTGAACCCACAAAGCTGATACTTTTTCGCCTATATCTAATTTCCATTCTTTAAGTTTCGCTAGTTGTATCAGACTTTTTTTTTAAAGTAAAGTAACACCGTTTACAATGTTCACTATTGGACTAAATATTTCTATTCAATTTTCTATTTTATTATTGATTTAATAATTTTTGTCTAAACTTAATCATTGCAATGACATCCAATAAACTTCTGTTTAAATCATTAATAAAGAAATGCTAAATATATAAGATCTTGAGAATCCATTTTTAAACACTTTAACAATAAACAAGTGATATAATTTAATTTTTTATATAATCTATAAACGATAATATATTTTTACTTACTTGTAGATTAGTAGCTTATTGACCTGGAGGCATTCTTCTCTTTTACCTTTTTTGTTTCATCAACAGAATGTTTAAGCTGTTGTGTTGCCTTGCTCTACTCTCTGTAGCCCTTGGTTATGGCTACTCTGGCTCCAAGTCTGGTAAAAACTTTGGTCTCTTAAGCAGAGGAGGATATGGAGGAGATTACAGTGGAGGTAAAGGTTATGGAGGAAATTCCTATGGTGGCAGAGGATATGGAGATTACTATGGAGGAATAGGATATGGAGGCAGAGGATACGGAGGTGGTTACTTTGGAGGCAAAGGATATGGAGATGATTACAATAAAGGATATGGAAGTGAAGGTTCTTACGGAGGTAGAGGATATGGAGGCGACTACAATGGAGGTTACTATGGAGGCAGAGGATATGGAGGTGATTACAATAAAGGATACGGAGGTAGAGGAAACGGAGGATATGGAGGCGACTACAGTGGAGGATATGGAGGTTACTATGGAGGTAGAGGATACGGAGGAGGTTACTATGGTAATAATAGATACGGCGGAAGATATAGTGGTAGCTATGGATATGGCGGGGGTTCCTATGGAGGACAGGGATACAGAGGTGGCTATGGCTACTACAGTGCTGGATATTTCCCAGCAATATTTGGTTATGGAAAAGGAGGGGTGAGTCTCTTGAAATATTCATTGTCAAATTTGATTGAATAAAATACAGTATTTCATGGAAATCTAAGAATTTGAATTCTGAATGGTTTTTTTTTTTTTCTTTTTTGTTATTTTTCAGAATTATTATTGAAAACTTGGATGAAGGTGTACTCATCATGAGTATTTTTGTGTGCATTTTGCTAATAAACAACATTACATAACTGACCAGAACTTTATTTCTTAAAACTACTAAAGCTACATTACATGAGACGTAGAAACAATTGTTTTCAGAAGATAATTTTTCGTATGACTCCAACCTATCAACATCTGTGTGTGTGTGAGGGTGTGTGTGTGTGTGTGAGGGTGTGTGTGTGTGTGAGGGTGTGTGTGTGTGTGTGTGTGTGTGTGTGTGAGGGTGAGGGTGTGTGTGTGTGTATTAGGGTGTGTCAATGACAAACTTATTTTGGAAAAGGAAAACTAATCTTCCTTCTGGAGGAAATGAAAACGGTAGCTAAAACCTAAAAAAAACTTCCAAGACAACTCTTAACAAATTCCCAATACCAGTACATTCCAGAGAAATCTACAATGTTGGTCTCTGATTATAACAAGAAAAATTTAAAAGAAATGAAAAACGTTAGATGTATTAATTATAAATTTACTCCTGAAATAATTTCTAAATATTTTCAATTAAGTTTTTAAACATAAGCAATTTGCCCCCCCCCCCAAAAAAAAAAAAACCCAGCAAGTAAATTTTCAAAATAGAGTTTACTCTCTCAGTAAAAGTCACTAGGATTGATCCAAATATCCCTTCAAATTCCATATGTATTCCTATTTTCAAAATATATGCTGGAAATATACCTAGCTCTTCTTATAATCAAAATTAGAAAGTTATTCGCAAGTCTAATGCCCTGTTCACACGGAGAGTTTAATTCGAATTAAATTTAAGTAACTGCGAATTTAATTTGAACCGCGTTCACACGGAGAATTTAATGCGAATTAGTTTAATTCGAATTAATTTACTGCGCATTAAATGACTTCGCATTAGCTCATATGGAGAAATTGTGTGCAATTTATTCTTGAGATTGCTTCCACGTGATTTATTTCTCATTAATATTCATAAGATACTGAATAAACTCGAAATTCCATTTCTTTAATTTTTTTATGTTAAATCCTGCAAGCCTGTTTCGTTTTGTTTTTTCTTCAAGGCTCCTTCATAGTTATATGGGTAGAAATTTGTGTGAATAACAGCTGACGACTCAGGACACTGTTTTCCCGATATAAAGTAGGTCACAATGATGCAAAAAAATTGCCGTTTTCAAATTAAAAAGGCGGTCGTAACTCCTCATGGAATGGTAAAACATATGTATTTTATAAAAATAGGCTCTCTCCTGCACCTCTTAATTGGCGGAAGAAATCTGTCAACTTGTAATAAACACTTACATTTCCTCATTAAAAATGATAAAAACACCAATTCTGTGCTTTTTCCTTCATTGAAACAATATACTCTCGCTTCGAATTTTCAAATCAAAAAGGCGGTCGCAACTTTCACTTTGGTATCAACAATCTTGTCATTTCCGGTAGAAGAAATTAAGAAGAATCAAACCATCGGCCGAAGAACTTAATCCGAAATAGTTAGGATATAAAAAATCGCGATTTTTTGTATTTTCTTTATATAAACCTTTATAAATTCGGCCGCCATTATAGTTTCAAAATGGCAGATATGCAAATCAGCAGAATGAACACCATTTCTCCATAGGTCCGTGTGAACGCTAAGCAAAGCTAATCCGAATTAAATTTTGACGCATGCATAAGGGCAGAATTAAGTCAAAGACCACATGTCGGTGGTCAGATATAGTAACTTGTACCATTTTTGAGTGGAAAACCAAAGAAAATTATGTTAATCAATAAAATTTGTACAGACACTGTGACATTATGTAAAATGTACCTGCTCTGCACAATGTGACGTGATTTGAAAATGACGTCATAATAGGCTTACAGAATAGCCTTACTATATAAATATAATTTTAATTCGCATTAGTTAACTTCGCATTAGCTCTCGTGTGAACGCAATCTAATTCGCATTAGTTTAATTCGAATTAGTTTACTTCGAATTAATTAACTGCGAATTAAACTCTACGCGTGAACAGGGCATTAATTCCATCTCATATCGACTCTCTGCTTGATGGCGCGCTGAAACAATGTTGCGCTGGCAATAGGGTCTGAAAGTCTCGTCACGTGACTCGCGAGATTTTTCGATAATATTAACCTCCGGGTACCTCACACATGGAGATGTGTATTGGGTTAAGCATGTTTATGGTTTACACAAAGAGTACAAGGAAAGTTTAAGCTGTTGTACAAAGCCGAAGGGTTCTCCGACTTACGATGGATAAATTGAGTGTCATAAAAGCTTGGGTGAGAGCAAGTAGGAGGAGAATTTCGATCGAAGTACAGGTAAACAAGTCAGAGAATTATTCATAAAAGTAATATTATCTCCAAGAGTAAGAAAAAAGAATTTTTTAATTCTGATCGGGAATCAAAGGTTTAAAAATGTACTTTTTTTTTTTTTTTTTTACAAAAAAAGCGTGCACTTAGGCCATTGTTAAACAGGTTAGATATAATTACACCTTTTCCTGACGGAGAACCGAATGGTTTAAGAACTGCTGACATCTTTAGATATCTGGGATGACAGTCTGAAAAATGACGAAATATTCAAATGAAAATATTGCAATTTTCCGAATACAGTTTCATCGGAAAATTTTCGTACTATAATATATCAAGAGCAAAGAAAATATTTATAACAAGCAAATAACTTAAGAAATACAATTAATAACATTGACAGTACATCTGTGTACAAATGTACAGTAAAGTATTGACACTAGTCTTCTAATGGTATGGCAGACTGTGATACTGCTCTTCATGGAGGGTTGACTTGAAAAAAAACTAACAAAATAAAAGACGATGTGGGCCTAAACTTCATCATATAACAGACGATGTAAATTTCATCATAAAAGACTACGTAAACATCATCATAACAGACAATTTAAAGATCCTCATAACAGACCATGTAGACATCATCAAGGGCGATAGAGCTACTGTTTCTTACATTCTGAGGAAGAATTTCAAATATAGGTTCCATAACTTGTGCGAGTTAGTTACCTTTTTTTTTTTCTCCAACTCAAGTTCCTTAGCTTTTTAATTGTTAATAGACACGAGGCTCTGCTAAAACTATTAAACTAATTGTAACACATATTTCATCACGCTTAATGTTCATCATCCCTCTGCTCCCTCATATAAAAACTTTCGTTACCGCTTATGATTTTCCAAAAGACCTTTCAATTAGATTTTTGTAAAAGAATGATGGTCATTTATCCCAGGAAGAGTTACCTTTCTTATCAAAGGATCAAAGAACATTAAGATTTATTGCAGGGGAGAAGCATTAATAAAGAGTTTTTTTCTACACGAGAAGGAGAAATTGTATTTGTAGAGATAATTTCTTTGTTTAAATGGGAAAGGAAAATTGAATTAAAGTCTGTACTAATGGTAACAAACGACGCAAAATCTACACACGCCTGATCAACACTAAAACTATCAAATTAAAAGCTTGATTGTTGGATGAAAGATTTTTGACCGTTAGAGATGTGGTAATCGCTGAAAATATGTTGAAACAGTTCTCAGGGGCTGTCTTCTTTCTTGATGACAAGACTAACTCTAAACAGCAGCTTAAAGTACACAAGAGAACTCTGCTATGTTTAGAATTCTTCACTTACAATGAACGTTAACACTGCTTTAACTACTTCTAATGAAATATATGGAGATAGCGAACAGTATTCAAGCTCAAAAGTCCATTATACAATACAAAATAGGACCAGAGCAAACATGGACCTCCAAACATCAGAGGTGGGATCAGGTGCCATGGAGGAGTGAGCATCCCCTGCCGACCGGTCACACCCGCCGTGTGCTCCTTGTCATGATCGGGAAATAACGGAAAAATCCGTCGACAATTCAGTGTGTAAATAATGGCCTAACAATTAGTATGAAAAACGTCAGTCAGCATTTGACTCAATGATAAATTGTATTTGCTGACAAGGTCATTGTATCGACCATAGAACTTACGAAATGATGACTTTAGACGAGACAGCTGATATTCTTGTTTCTCCTTTAATTGGTTACCTCTTGATTAACTCTATCACTCACCTCTGCCACATCTTGTACATCCTATAGTTATCCTTGCTCACTTTCTATGTTTCAATTTATTTATATACAGAATCTGTTAATTATTCTTCTCTTCTTTATATAATATTCTATATTCTAAGAAAGTAATTTTAATTTTCAAAATGTTGTTTATCCCCTGACTTAATTCCTATTAGCCTTTCTTTACTAGTCTACATTTTCAACTAGCATTTCATTGTAGAAAACCCCATGAATCTCTTTAGTGAACCTGTGAATACATTTTACTATTTATTTTCAGTATACTATAAAATATATGCTATAAAACATTGAACACATTAAAGGTGCTTGGACACAGATTTGAAGTTAATATTTTCTCAAATGTTCTGTATAATTTCATGACTTATATGTTGCTATAGCATTTCATACTAAAATATAATAAAAATCTTATTTCATCTCGAAGTTATTAAAACATCGAATTTCTGGACGCGTTGGATTGACACATCCTTGCGCTTTCACATATTTTAATTTTATTCTTAGTACTTAAAACAAGTGGCAATTTTGCTGTGTATTAATGAAAAATATTAAAACTATAACCCAGAAAATTCAGAGTTGAAATGTTCGAAAGCAAAACTCACTCACAGTATTGTAAGTCCGTACTCAGTGGTGTGTGCAGAGTTTAACAATTGAACACACACAGTGAATCGTAAACATAAACAATAACAGAGCTCGTGTCCTGTTTACAAAAACAGTTTACGTTTCACGGGTGTATTCAATTTGTACACATCACAGAGTACTGACTGACCATACTGGTGAGTTGGTTTTGCTTTCGAACATTTCTACTCTGAATTTTTTGGATTATAGATGTAATATTTGGCATTAATACGTAACAAAATCGCTTCTTTTCTTAAATATTAAGGATAAAGTTTTTTTCCTATTTTATTTCTATTTCTTAATAAAAACAAACATAGAAATATATATATA